AAAGGGCGCGCTGCAGTAGACGCGAATAACAAAAGGGGGGCCCGGACTTCAAGCTCCCCCCCTCCTTTTACCATGGGCTGGGGGCTTCCGAAGCTACCCCCCCTAGCAACCTGGAAAACTGAAGGGGAGGGGGGGAGCTTTGGAAGCCCCCCACCTGCCTTTTGTGGTGCTGGGGTAAGCTCGGGCTGCTCGTTGCAAAGGTGGGAGGTACTTCGGAAGCTACCCCCGCTGTAGGGGGGTGGCTTCGGAAGCTCCCTCCCTCTCTTGGGTTTCTGAGGTGCAGTCAACCCGTATAATAAGGATGTGTGGTAAGGATGCAAGGGCCTTGGAGGGCCTTGTTGACGTTTTTCGAACCAGATTGACCAGCGAAAGTTGCCAGGGGTGAGCCGAAGGGGTAAGGATGCATGGATAGCCTTGGAAAGTCGTGCATCCTTATTCTGTCGGTTGACTGTAAGCCGGAGCTTAGCTTTCCAAGGGGAGGGGCTTCGAAGCTAGGGTTTCCGAAACTACCCCCCTCCAACCCCCCTGTGCGCAGCTGGGAGTTGCCAGGGATCGGGGGAAGGGGGGGAGCCAGAAGCTACCCCCCTCCCCTTTTTCGGGGCTGAGTGTAAGCCCAGGCTTAGCGGTGCGGGGTGGGGGCTTCTGAAGCTACCCTCGCCCCTCTCTACGTTCTGATGTTTTATGGAACTGCGGGGCGTCGCTGTTGAATTCTAGTTTTTGAAGAATTATTATTGTTGATCCCCCCCACCGGTGCATACTGTTTTTTCTCAATCAAAGTGTTCCCCTCGACGCTCGCACCCTGTTTTTTCATCAGGGAAAGTCTTGAGGCTTAAACTGTGCCCCTGGCCCCCAGGTTACAACAACAACGGCTCCCGCTTGAGACTTCCTCACAATTTAGCCAGGACCCCCGCTCCCGCCCGAGACTTCCTCGCATTTTATTCAGGAGTCGCGCTCTCGCTTGGGACTCCCTTACAATTTATGCAGGAATCGCTCTCCCGGCGCTCTGGAGTCGCGCTGTGGCTGGAGATTTGCTTGTAATTTATTGAAGAATAGCGCCCTTGCGTGGAATTTTCTTGCAATTTACTCAAGCGCCGCGCTCCCAACACCCAGGCACCCAGGAGTCGCGCTCACGCTTAGGACTCCCCCACAGATTACATAGGAATCGGGATCTCGCTGCCCTTCATGGCCCCGTTGCAGCCCTTCGTGGCCCCCTCGCTTTGTTTCGTGGCCCTGTTGCAGCCCTTCGTGGCCCCCTCGCTTTGTTTCGTGGCCCTGTTGCAGCCCCTCTTGGCCTCCTCGCTGCCCTTCGTGGCCCTGTTGCAGCCCTTCGTGGCCCTCTCGCTTTGTTTCGTGGCCCCGGTGCAGCCCTTCGTGGCCCCCTCGCTGCCCTTCGTGGCCCCGTCGCAGCCATTCGTGGCCCCGTTGGAGCCCTTCGTGGCCCCCTCGCTGCCCTTCGTGGCCCCGTTGCTGCCCTCAGTGGCCCCCTCGCTGCCTTTCGTGGCCCCATATATGTATGCCCTTCGTGGCCCCCGCTCGTTCGCGCCCGTGGTGGCCCCATCGCAGCCATTCGTGGCCCCGTTGGAGCCCTTCGTGGCCCCCTCGCTGCCCTTCGTGGCCCCGTTGCTGCCCTCAGTGGCCCCGTCCTTGCCCTCCGCGGCCCAGTATTTACGTATGCCCTTCGTGGCCCCCGCTCGTTCGCGCCCGTTTTGGCCCCATGTGCATGCCCTTCGTGGCCCCGCTGTCGCCGTTTGTGGCCACCTCACTGTCCTACGTAGCCCAGTTGCTACCCTCAGTGGCCCCATCGTTGCCTTCTGTGGCCCCGCATTATCTGCCCTTCGTGGCCCCCGCTCGTTCGCGCTCTTCGTGGCCCCATACGCATTTCCTTCGTGTCCCCGCTGTCGCCCTTCGTGGCCTACTTCGTGTCCTTGTGGCCCTGCTGTCGTTCTCTCTCGCTCTCGCTTTCGCTCGTCGTCGTCGTCGTCGCCGTCGTCGTCGTCGTCGCCGTCGTCGTCGACGTCGTCGTCGTAGTCGTCGTCGTCGTCGTCGTCGTCGTCGTCGTCGTCGTCGTGGTCGGTCCCTTGTCCGTCCCTCTTGGGGTCGGGTCGACGGTCCGCGGCCGCCCCGCCGATCAGCGCTGCCCCTGGCCAGGCCGACGGTCCGCGGCCGCCCCGCCGCTTGCCGGGGCCCGGCCTGCAGGGAAGAAAGGTCTACCCCCCAAACGGGGTCCGATCGAAGACGAGGGCGGGTATCGAGGGTTTGGGAAATACGCGTTATTGGACACTCGAGCAGATAAGGGCGAACAGTCTTAATATGATTGTTGTTGTCGTCGTCGTTCTCTCGGTCGTCGTCGTCGTTGTAGTCGTTGAACGTTCAGTTTTGGAGAATAATCGTTGTTGATATCCGAGAACATTTTCGTACGCTATCGCCTCGGCACAGGCTACATATTCTGTGAAAACGAGGCTCCTGCTCGAGCGGGGGCTTGGGTGTAAATGAGGGTTCTTGAGGGCCCAGCTACGACGACAACGCCTCCCGCTCGATACTTCCTCACACATTATTCCGAGTCGCCCTGGCCAGAGAGCCCCCCAAACTCAGGAACGGCGCTTTCGCTCGAGCTTTCCCCGCAATTCATTCAAGTTGGTGGAGGCCCAGCTACGATGACAACGGCTCCCGCTTGATATTTCTTGGCAAGTTATTCCGAGACGCCCTGGCAAGAGAGAGGCCACCCAAACTCAGAAACGGCACCCTCGCTCAAGATTGCATGGAATCCATCCAAGTTGGTGGAGAACCAGCTACGACGACAACGGCTCCCGCTCGATATTTTTTTAGAATTTACCCCAAGACGCCCTGGCCAGAGAGGCTTCTAATTTCAGGAACGTTGCTCTTGCTCGAGACATCCTGATACTTCGGTTTAATGTGTGACGGCCCCCGATCGCCCCGATCGGTATTTCCTCGCAATTTATTCCCAGGTGCCCTGACCAGAGAGACCTGCCAATTCAGGAACGGCGCTCTCGTTCGAGACATTTTCGCATGTCGCCCCACTTGATATAAAGGACAGCCATGGCGACAACGGTTCCCGCTCGACACTTCTTCATGCTGGATTGACGCTTCAGCGACCCGCCCGCTCGACCTGGCTGTCTCTCCCGCCCGCCCGACCTGCCCGTTAGGATAGTTTTCGTGGGGCGATAAAGGAGGCGGGAGGGGGAGGGGGCTTCGAACTGGGGAGGTCCAAGGGGTGGGGGCAGCTTGCAGGGGTCATAGGGGGAAGGGGGAGGGGGGGCGGCCTTACGGCAGAGAGGCTGGGTGGGGGGGGGGTAACTTCTGGAGCGCGACATAAAAAGGACATTGGGAACAGGGGAGGTCCAGAGGGGTGGGGGACATTCTGGGGGGACCCCCTCCAGGCGCTGTCTCTCGTGGCGCGCTCTTTGTATTATGATTCGACGGACATGATGGAGCTCATGACTGGACGTGCGTGCGTGCGGCGCCGGCAACGACGATGGCGCTTGTTCCGCTGCCACCGGCGCTGATTATGGTGAATTGTATCGTAGAAGCATGAGAATGCACGATGATGTCGGAAAACACGCACGACAGAATCTGAACCAGAGCCGTTGTAAATTTCTGGCGCTTCCGAGGACGGATTGACTTTCGTTGACCAGGGCCTCCAAACAGCCATGCACATTGTGGTCGTTGTGAACAAGTGGACCTTAGCAAATTTGCTCGGGTGGTGGTGCCCACCAGCACTACATGTTGCGCGGTGCCATGTCACTACACACGGAGCTGTGTCCAGGGTATTTTCGGCATCACCCATTCCGTATTGACAGCGATGACGAGCTGCTGATGATGATAATGCTGCTGCTGCTGATGATGATAATGCTGCTGATGATGATGACGATGACGATGACGACGACGACAATGAGGATGAGGATAAGAATGATGATGATGACGATGATGATGACGATGTTGATGATGATGATGATGATGACGACGATGATGATGATGATGATGATGATGATGATGATGATGATGATGATGATGATGATGATGATGATATTGCTGCTGCTGATGATGACGACAACGACGACGATGATGATGAGGAGGAAAGGACGGTGACAACGACGACGGTGACGACAACGCCGATGATGATGCTGATGATGCTGATTATGATGCTGCTGCTGATGATACTGATGCTGCTGATGATGATGAGGATGATGATGGTAATGCTGTTGTGGTTGTTGCTGCTTCCGCTGTTGTTGGTTGTTATTATTGTTGTTGTTGTTGATGTTGCTGTTGTTGTTGCTGCTGCTGATATTGTTGTTATGGTGGTTGAATTTTCATTTTTTAAGAACATGGTTGATTCCCCCTTCAGTGCACATGATGTTTTTCAATTGAAATGCCCTTCCTGGGGCTCGCACCCTGTTTTCTGCCACGAATGGTTTTGAGTCTCAGAATTGTGTTGCTGGCCCCCGGTTTACAACACTAGCGGCTCCCGCCTGATACTTCCTCACAATGTATTCCCAAATCGCGCTTGGGCGCGGGACTTCTTCACAATGTATGCAGGCATCGCGCTCTCACTAGTGGGACTTCCTCGCAATTTATTCAAGCGTCTCGCCTTCAACCTTTACGAACCACGCTGTCGCTCGGGCCTTTCTCACGATTTACTTGGGAATCGCGCTGTCGCTCAAAACTTCCTCGCGATTTATGCTCATGCTTCGGCAACCCGCCTGCTCGACCTGGCCGCCTGGGCCCGCCTTCCCGACCTGCCCGTTAGGGTCTACCCGCCCGATTTTCCCGTCTGTTTCTGCAACGTGCTTTCTGCTCCTAGTCCCCCTCCTGCTAATCTCTCTCGTGCTCAATCCTCTTCCCTCCCTCGCCCATCCGTGCTCTCTCCCCCTGTTTTAGGGGCTGAGCCAATTACACGCGGCAGGTAATGAAGATATACCCCCAATGGGGGTTACGATGAACGACAAACAGGGCGGGTACCTAGGGCTTGAGAAGTACGTCTTCGTGTTGTTGTTGTTGTTGTTGTTGTTGTTGTTGTTGTTGTTGTTGTTGTTGTTGTTGTTGTTGTTGTTCTTGTTCTTGTTGTTGTGGTTGTTGTGTTTGCTGTTGCGGCTGCTGTTGTTGTTGTGGTTGTGGTTGTGGTTGTGCTTGTTGTTGTTGTTGTTGTTGTTGTTGTTGGTGGTGGTGGTGGTGGTGGTGGTGGTGGTGGTGGTGGTGTTGTTGGTGGTGGTGGTGGTGGTGGTTGGTGGTGGTGGTGATGCTGATGCCAGTGCAAGCAACGGCGATGCTGCGGATGCTGATGGTGCTTGCGCTGATGATGGTGGTAGCGATGGTGGTGGTCGTGGCAATGGTTCTAACGCCGAGGAGGAGGAGGAGGAGGAGGTGGAGGAGGAGGAGGAGGAGGAGGAGGAGGAGGCGAAGGAGGACGAGGAGGAGGCCCCTCCCCCCTCCAGCTGCGCCAGGCGCTCAAGATCTCGAAGATGTGCTCCCAGCTGAACGTCGACGGCCTGCGAGGCGGGCGCGGCCCGTGGCCGTGCTGCACCCGCGGCCCTCCGCGACCCAGTCGAGGATTTGGAGGAGGAGGCGGAGGAGGAGGAGGAGGAGGATGAGGAGGATGAGGCTAAGGAGGAGGAGGAGGAGGAGGAGGAGGAGGAGGAGGAGGAGGAGGAGGCTAATGAGGAGGAGGCGGAGGAGGAGGATGATGAGGAGGAGGAGGAGGAGGAAAAGGAGGAGCAGGAGGAGGAGGAGGTGGAGGAGGACGAGGAAAGAGGAGAAGTAGAAAGAGGAGGAGGTGTAAGAGGAGGAGGAGGGACGAGAAAGAGGAGGAGGAGGAGTAGTAGGAGGAGGAGGACGGACGCAGGGTGAGGAGGAGGAGGAGGAGGAGGAGGAACACAAGGCGAGAAGGAGGGAGGGAGGGAGGGAGTGAGGGAGGGGCTGGGAGGGAGGGCGGGACACGTAGGAGTAGGAGGAGGAACAGGAGGAGGGAGGGAGGGAAGGAAGGAGGGAGGGAGGGAGGGATGAGGAGGAGGAATGAATAACAGGGATGCGGATGATTAGGATTCTACCGCTGCTATTGCTGTTGCTTCTGCCGCTAATGAGCCTATCTGGCTCAGGCATTTGCCTGTGCTTGCAGCAGCTTAGATTCAGAACGGCACACAGCTGTTGCGGGCCATTGTGGCTTCCATTTACGCAGTTCGCGGGATCTCAACCCGCATTCTTCATTTCCGCTCCGTGGGAGCTATTTCCTGACCACGACCCAGTCCGTGCGATGGCAGGAGGAGGTGCTGGAGGGCATGGGCGCATCTCGTGGGCTCCATGGCATCGCTCTTGGGCATCACCGACGCCTGCCGCCAAGCGTGACCAAGTGTGGCCCCCCCTGGTCCCTGGCCCACAAGGCTCTCATCATGGCGGCGCTGGTCATCATGGTCATCTGTCCGCGGCCAAGAGGTGGACATGCAGTGTCTGCGGGTGCAAGAAGAACGAGGCCAGATTCTTCTTTTGCAAGCACTGCGGCCAGCTCAAGCGTGACTCTGCCCAGCACGGTTCGGCCTGGTCGTCTGGCAAAGCTCTTGCCATGTTCGGCGACCGCCCCAGCTTCTCGGGTAAGAGTGGCGAGAAGGGCTCAGGCAAAGGAGTTGCGGGCGCCCCGTCGGCTGCTAGTGTTCCGAAGCTTTCTGCGGACGAATACCTTCAGCTGGCATCCCTGCACGACAAGGTGGGCGACTCTCGGGCAGCAGCTGCCCATCGCACTGCGGCTGCGGCACTGTCGGCGCCCGCCACAGCATCAGTTTCGGTGCAGGTGCAGGCGCTTCTCAACAAGGCTCACCAGAAGGCCCGTGCCATTGAGAAGAAGCTCGAGAGCGCAGTCAGCAAGTTCGAGATGCTGGAAGCTCAGCTCGCGGCGCAGCGCAACCAAGTGCTGGTCTTGCGCAGCGACCTGGAGCAAGCTGAAGCCGAACATGGTGAGCTCGTGCGGCGGCTTCATGACGAGCTACCGAGCACTGGCCCACCGTCCGACTCGGCCTCAGGCACGAAGCTCAGCTTGGAGGACCTGCTGGACGAGAAGCGTTTTTCTCAGATGTTCGACCTCGATGTTGGAGATTGCTTCGCGATCACTGACGACGAACAGCTCTCGCCAGACGAGGCCAAGCAGTTGTCAGATCGGGTGGACCTCTTCAAGTCTGGCATCAGCGACATGGCTCGCTCCCTGTTCGCCGAGGCCAAAGCTAAAGCTGACAAGCTGCGGGAGGAGCACAAGCAGTTGTCTCAGCGTATCGCCAAGAAGCGCAAGACGGACGGTGGTGCTACGGTCGACGGTGCTGATGTCCCTGTTGATCAGGTGCCCCCACCTGCTGATGCAAGCAAGGACGAGTCCCCTGCGGCTGGCGCCAATGGTGAAGGGCGCCCAGGTACAGGGGCAGGTTCTGCTGGCTCGGCCTCGGAGCAGTCTGCGACGGGCTCGGCTTCGCCTACCACTCCGTCAAGTACCAGGGCACGTGCTGACAGGATTGCTGGAGCTGCCTCTGCTTGAGCCCCTCCTGGGGCCCGTTTGTGTTGAGTTTTCCCTGAGCCTTGGGATCCTGGGCCTCGTCCCTCGGTTTTCCTGGTGTTTCGGGACGGCCTGGTTGGCCAAGAGCTCGGACAGCGGTAAACTCCAGGGGGGCATCTTTTCTCCGTTTAGCTTTGGCCGCTCAGCGGCTCAGGTTGCGCTCTGGTGCAAGCGAGGCCTACCTCTGGTTCTCGCTTCCTCCTCTGATGTGTCTTTTTTCCCAGAGGTTGAAATCATTTCAGAAGGTCCCACCGTCAGCCCGATGGCGCGACCTCATGACTCGTGTGGATTCAGCAGTCTGTCAGGCAGTCGACCACCCGTGTCACTCGCTTCATCGTGTGTGCCAGGCTCCTGTGAATTTTGCTTGTCCAGCGAATGGGTACCCTGTGCTCTCTCTTGACAAGGATGTTCCCTGTCGCACCACACTAATCAGGCTGCCGTTGCCCGAGCCCATGGAGGTTCGGCAGGGCGCGGGCTCAGGCAGGCCTGGTGCGGTGTCAGGGTGCCTGGACACTTGCAGCCATGATCTTGGGACTCCTGGGCCGTTGGTGGACCAGGAGACTCGACGTGGCCTGCAGTCGCCACCTTTTGCTCGAAGCGCTCGGTTTTTGGTCTCAGGACGTGCCAGCAAGGGTCTAGACGGCCGATGCTTCCCCACTGATGGAGCTCGGTCTCCCAAGGTCAGTGGTGAGGCTGCTGTTGCTCAGCTCGATTCTGTCGCGCTCAGGGTTCAGACCAGCAATTGCAATTCCTGGGGCCGAATGCGCAGCATCATTGAGGGCACTGATGCGCATGTGTTGCTCTGTCAAGAACACCGTCTGATTCGTTCTGAAGATATCGATCAGGCTAGCGCCTGGAGCCTTCGCCGCGGATGGAAGAGCGTCTGGTCGCCCGCCACGGCCACCGAGTTGGGTGATTCCCCTCGGGGGGAGTCGCCATTTTCGTGCGCTCGTGGTTGGGGTGTTTGGAGGTGCCTGGTGGTCAGGTTGTCAGCGGGCGCGCCCTGGTTTGCTCGTTTGAGATCCCTGGGTGCCACCCTTTCCTGGCCGCCTCTGCCTACCTCCACCACTCGGAAGGCCTTTCTGACGCCAACTTGAGCCTGCTCTCGGTTCTGGGGGTGGTGCTTTCCACGGCTGCGAGACCCTGGATTCTCGGTGCCGACTTCAACATGGACCCCGAAGTGCTCCGAGGGTCGGATTTCGTGCAAGAGCTTCGAGGTGCGCTGATCGCGCCAAGCGTTCCGACTCACTATCCTGCTGGGCCCCCGTCCACTTTCGATTACTTCGTGGTGTCTGGTGGTCTCAGCAAGGCCATTGAACGGATCGACACTAGGTTGGACACTGAGCTCTCGCCCCATCGCCCTGTGGACCTTCGGTTCTTCAAGCAGCTCGGAGTGCTGAAAGCGCTCTCTTTTCGTCGCCCCCCCCCCTCTGCCTTGCGAGGCGGTGTTCGGGCCCGCCCCCTGCCCCCTCGTTTGGTCTGGAGTGCAGCTTCTCACTGATGCTGCCCACCAGCTTGCTGAGACGGACAGGCCTCAAGAGGCCGCCGCTTTGCTTGGCCCCCTGTACCAGCGTTGGGCGGACCTGGCTGAGAAGGAGCTTGTTCTGTTGGTTGGCGAAACCCCGGTCAAACTTGGGTCCCGTGGTTTGGGCCCCCAGCTTGTTTGGAAATCTGTCCTTGCCAAAGATGGCAAGGTTCGTTATCCCGCTCATCGCTCGATTGTTTGGCTCGGTCAACAGCTCAAGGCCTACATTCATTCCCTCAGAGCTGGCGCCGCGATGGCGGGCACTTTGAAGGCCCTGTTGTTGCAGCCTCCTCGGTCTATCGATGAAGCTAAGGATGAGTACGCACCGCTGTTCAGTTTGGTGAAGGAGGCTGTGACGCGCACGGCTGATCCCTACTCCTTTGCGGACGTTTACACGCAGGTGCACGAGGCCGTCCAGGCCGCCGACTCGAAGTTCCGTGCCGAGGCCCGCTCTGAATGGAAGGCGTGGCTCAATGTGGGAGTGCAAGCGGGAGCGAAAATAGTGCACACCCTTCTCAGGGACCCCGCCCCGTGGGCTGCCAGTTCGACCCTTTCGGCGGATGGTAACGTGGTTTCGGACCCCCTGTCGTTGCTGAAAGCTGAAGGGGACCGCTTTGCTTCCCTTTGGGGCCCTGGGGTCGGTGCGGACTCGGCCTTTGAGAGGCTGGATGACCTCCCCAGGTTGGGTGCGCAACAAATCAGGGACGTCTCCAAGTCCTATAGGACTGCTTCGGCCACCTCGGTTGATGGGTTCCATTGCAGACACTTCTCGCTCCTTTCCGATCCCTGCCTTGACTGCCTTGGATCTCTTTTCAGCCTCATGGAGGCTTTAGGCGTCTTGCCCCCTCAGATCTCTGTTGCTCTCTTAGCGCTGCTGCCGAAGCCGACTGGCGGCTACAGGCCCATCGGGGTGTTCTGCTCCTGGTACAGGTTGTGGGGGCGCTGCAGACGTCCCTTGGCCCTGGCCTGGGAACTGGCCCACCCCCGAGAGTACTGGGCTGCTGGCCAGCATCGAGGAGCAGCCGACGTGGTGTGGCGCCAGGCCGTCTCCGCCGAGGCGGGAGTTGCGAAGGGCCTCGCCAGTTGCATTTTTTTTTTTTTTTTTTTTTTTTTTTTTTTTTAGATCTCTCTAAATTCTATGAGAACATTAACCTCCTGCGTTTAGAAGACCGTTGTCGCAGGTTGGGTTTTCCCATGGTGATTGCCCGCTTTTGCATCTTTGCCTACAAGGTTGGCCGCTTTCTGAGCCTGGGTGGTTGGCTCGAGGGCCCGCACTTTTGTGTCAATGGGGTCATCGCTGGCTGCTCGATGGCCACCACCCTCATCCGAGTTTATTGCATGGAAGGATATGATAGCATTCCCCTGTCCCCTGCTGCTTCGCTGGACGTTTACATTGACGATCAAGGGCTGTCGTCGACTGCCCCCCCCCGAAAGTCGTCATCGATTCGATCGTTCGTGGGGCCATGGCGCTCGACTCTGTCGTCCAGGAGGTTTTCGGGTGTTCCTTCGCTCTGGAGAAAACGGCTATCGTGTCCAGCTCCAAATGTGTGGGTTCACAAGTCCTCTCTCGTATCAGCCATCTTTGCCAGCGTTGTACAGGCTCAGCCGTCAACCTCGGAGTTGACTACTCGGCAGGCCGTGCTGTTAGAGTTGCTGGACGATCGGCCAAGATGAAGGCCAGGCTCGCTAAGGCGGGCAGAGCTGCGCGGCGCCTAGTGCGGCAGGCTAAGGTACTTACTCGGTCTACGTCCTTGAAGGTATTCTCTGCTGGCCCCCTGGTGGGAGCCTCATACGGTACCGAAGTCACGGGCATAAGCGATCATGGCCTTAGCATGCTGCGCCGTCGCCTTTTTAGTGTTGTGCGCCCACACAGTCGGCTGAGGTCCCTCACGGCCCCCGCCCTGCTGGACAATGGCCCGACATGGCGATCGGCCACCGCTCCCATTCTCAGATGGAGTAAGGAGATCTGGCTCAGACAGACAGGCGCGTTCAGCTGGGCTATCCCTCTGCCCACTTTGAAGTCTGCCTGGGCCGCCACCTTTTCTGACCCCAGATGTAGCTGGAGGAAGGTTGCGGGACCTATCACTGCCATGAGGATGTCTCTGGCCAGATTAGGGTGGAGTATGCCTAACTTCATGACACTGGTCGACGATTTCGGGAAAGCTATCCCCCTTGGGATCTTCTCGCCCGCTCTTGTCGGGTCCCTGGTCCGTGCTGGTTTTCTGAGAGTTTTGGACAGAGATGCTGCTGCCAGGAGGGGCATCTCTTACCGTCTTTGTTATGATGTTGTCAAGGAGGCTATCGCGCCCCGCAGTAAGCGTTTCACGGCCCTTCAGAAGGCTAGGATCAGAGCCTTCTCTACGGAGGCCATCTTGACTCGGGCTCGAGCCAGGGCCCTTGGGTACGACATTGATCCGTGTTGTGTCCACTGCGGGGCCAACGATGCCATCTTCCATCGGCTTTGGGAATGCCCTCTCCCCGAGGCTGCTTCAGCTCGGCTTGAGGCTACTGACAGCGAGGTGATAGAGGCCGCTCTGTCAGCTAAGGCGTCTGGAGATGATGATGAGCTGTTGGTCTTCATTTCTGGAGCCTTTCGGCACCCCGCCGACTCCTTCCCTCGGACTGCTGATGAGCAAGGTGATGGTCCGACCCTGGTCTGGCACAAGATGCCTGAATTTGACCCTGGTGGGGCCCCCGTCAGCAACAGAGTGTGGGGCTCCATATTTGTTGATGGCTCGTGTACCCGTCACGCTGTCAAGGGGCTCTCTCGTGCTGGCTCCTCAGTCTGCATGGTCGACGACTCGGGAGATCTTGTGGCTGAGCTGAGGCCCCCTGTTTGGGGCCCCTACCCACAGACCCCTTCAGAGCGCCGAATTCAGTGCGTTTACGTGGGCCAATGTTCTGGCGACCCATCCTGCTGAATGCCATGTGTATTCTGATTGCAGCAATGTGGTCCAGACTGCGGGTCTTGCTAAGCAGATTCAGCTCTCGCCTAAGCGCATGTATGCTGGGGCGTTTCTTCAGGTGCATGGTCAGGTCTCGGGGATAGCTGCCTGCTCCAAGGTGGCTGCCCACCTGGACGTGGGTGCTCCAGGGATTTCTGCCGAGGAGCGTTGGCGCCGCCCCGGCAACTACCATGCGGATGTTGGGGCTAAGTTTGCTGTCCGCCTCCATCTCGCGGATGACACTCTTCTGCAGGAGGCCGACCACCTTGTGGCCCTAGCGAGGGCCACCTTGAAGGTTGTTGTGGCTGTGCTCCCGTTATGGCCTCCTGTGGACCTCGACGGGGCCAACATATTCCCCGTGGTTCAACACCCGAGGAAGGAGGTGCTTGGGCACGACTGGAGGTCGTGGGGCGGAATCTGGAGGTGCGCTCACTGTCTGAGGGGGGACCGTTCCTTTTCGAAGCCAGCTCCAGGTTCCTGCTCT